TCACTAAACTACCAAAACGGTGCAAATACATTTCCATATCTGCACTCAAAGAAAAAAAATCCAATTTATTTCCCACTAACTGTGTCATGGCCTGAAAAACCCTGCATCCTAACTATGAATCTCTGCCTGGAAATAGTTAAAGGGCGACACACCTGGGAGCCAGCTGAGGTTGTTTTTTTCCTGTGCAATCAGAGTGAGGATCTTAAATTATAATAAAAGTCAGTAAAATGGTGCATCGCAAGAAATACGGGTTCAAAAAATATCTACGCTGTTTTAAATGGTTTTGTGGCCAGCTAGACAAATATAGTTCATGTTAGGGTACGACTATTATGATGTAATAGGACTGCATAGAGGCTTTTACTATCCCCCTTTATATAAACAATGGATGAGACACAGTTCTAAACAATCAATATCAACTTTCTCTGCATGAAAATCTGCTATAAAGAAAAAACATTAAACTATGCTTTCATTGTTGTATTGTAAGAGTTTTATAAAGACATTTTAAACAAGATTAAATTTGCTGGCTAATCTGGACCCAACTTAATTTAAACATTTATAAATGACTGCATATTGTCAACTCTGTAGGTGTTGCCTCAGCCTCAGAATATCTAAAAGGAAATTAGCTATAATATTTATTGATTATCTATTGTTTTTTTATGAAATAATCAAAATGCAGAAGCTGAAGGCTCAAAATAAAAAACAAGAGTTATTTCGCTTTTATATGTAGGTTATATTGGTCTGTATATTTTAAGATGCATGCAGGGTGTAAGAAAACAACAGGAGCCACTAACTTTTTATGTTGTACCAGTAAGAATTAAAAATTTATTTCACACCTGCTCTTTGTTTCATCCAAGAGTGACAATTGTTTTCTTTCTTTCTTTGCAACCTTTTGATCTGATATTTAACCAAAATTATGTTGCTAGATGTTTATATACAGCGGGCTGTACATATTGCAGTATTTGGCTTTGTATAAGAATGCTCAAGAATGCTTCAATAAAAAGAACTTTTTCCCAGTTAAATTCCCCTAATGGGGTGTGGGCTCAGCGCCCAATGTTCCAATGTCCAGGAAACGCCCCTGGTCTGAAATATCTGTAATAGGTTCATGAGAAAACATCTGCTAGTTTTAGTCGGTGGGCAGGGCTAACCTCGATCCTGGCCAAGGTCTGTAGCAGCTTCCTCCATGGAGGAACACAGGTAACGCTCGCTAGAGATCAATGACATGATGATACCGACTAACCAAAAGCCCAGTCCTCCCACTAGACTCAACATTCTGTATTCTCCTTCTCTCTCCAACAGACATTTCAATCTGAAAAACTCACACGGGGAGAAAAGACAATTAAAAGAAATGTATACATACAATTACTTTATTTGGTGCTCAAACCTCGACAGGAAACATAGCGCTAAATTTTGATAGATATGCATGAACAGGAGTAAAAAACAGGGCTCTTTCCCCCCCACGGGTCTGAAACTGGTGGTGGAGTGGAGATAGATGAAGTTGGTCAGTCTGTAGACTGCTGGTTAGTGAGACGGTCTGCTGAGCTTTATGGGGAGATCCGGTGAATTGCATGAACTGATACTAGAGCTTCACTCAGGGACCTGGAAGATGGAAGTCCAGTTTGAAAAACACAGGTTGAGAGAACCTGTCCATGATGAGCAAGCATGAAGGGACAGTGGAGAGGAAAAACTCCCCGTTGGGAAGAAACCTCTGGCAGAACCAGGCTGAATATGGCGGACTTCTGCCGGACCAGTTGCGATGAGACAGGGAACGCAGTAAGAGTCCGGGAGGAATGACACTCATGACATTAAGCTTTAGCTACTATGGTGGAGGAGGGGCTGGAGGTGGGTTGAAACGGGATCACCTGAATCGAAGTCCGACACAACGTAACCACTGCTTGCACACTAGGCAGCAGACAAGTTGCCAATCGGATGCCTTTTAAGATGCACTTTGGATGCTTACTGGCTTCCATGGAGGCGGGGTTCAAAGCTGATTGGCTGTGTCCTATGCGGATAAAGGCGAGTAATCAGTTTATTCAGTTGAACTTCAACCTAGGCTCCATTTTCAAAAATTAACTCTTTATTTCCAACTTTTATTTCCTTTAAATGTCCTTATTTTTCTTTATTTTAGTTATGCATGCCGTGTGTTCGGCCCTTTACCTGCTGTTTTTATGATGCTTCATAAATAAAGTTACCAGGAAGCCCTTCCTTCCACAAGTTTCGAAACCTGGGTTTCCTTTATCAAAGACAAAAGCTAAACCAGCTAAATATTGACAAGCTTTAATCAGTATGCACACTGAGCAAAAATAATGCAACCATTTTTGGCATTAACTTAATCATATTTAGTTACTTTAACACATTTTTTCATGTTAGCAGGGTAGGACATAAACAATTATGTTTAAATAACCAATTATGATTAAGCAGATGCCAAAAAAAAATTTCTGTGCAGTCATATGCACAAAAGATAGATATATATCATACCTTTACAATAAATACATAAAGGCAGGTTGAATGCAGTGATCTACTTTTGCTTTTTTAGCATTCACACAATAAAACAACTCCCTAAAAGTCTTCTTGTGTGTTAGCTTTGAAGATAGCCATGAAGACTGAATACTCAGTTCTTCATAATCAGGGAACAAAACTTCATCATCAGACATAAAGCCTGAATTCTCAAAGGAAATTTATGAGGCTGAAAGCACATCAAAGTGCCTCTCAGACCTGCAGTATTGTGTGATGAGCTTCCACTGAGCGCAGGATTGCCAGCACTTCGCTTGGAGGCACGCCCCAGCAGACAGACATATTCATATTGATTTTAATGTAGCACGCAGATACAGAAATGTGCTCTACATCCTGTTATGCTGACCCTTCATTCTACTCTGTTCTGGTAGCCTCAAGATGTATGGAAGATTGCACAAAAAAGAACATCAAATACATGTAAAGTGCTTAATTATAACAGATCATATTTAAGCGTTTTTGCAGACTGTTTGAAGTTACAGTATGTAGCTATTTAGTCTTATGTGGGTTTTTGGTGCCTAATAGAAGATTTTTTAAGAAACAATCCAGCTAAAGCTTAAGCTATCCTGCTTGATGAGTTTTGCATACAGCATATTTAAAGACAGAGAATGTTTTTCATATTTTATATAAAATTTATACTGTAGTTTTGGTTTAATTAACTGCTTAGTAAGTTGTTCCTTCAGCAAATTTACAATCCTGCAATGACTTACTTGATTTCTAAATTAGTTAATGATTATTTCATTTAATCAATTCGATGTACGTTTTTAAACTGTGGCTCAGACTGAACCAACCAATAACTCAAAGCAGTTGATCTGCCGGGGTAATGCAGGCCTGCTGGGGGGAAAAACTCCTGTCATGACATAGATGTGTTGAAATATGGGCTTTAACCATCACCGTTTCTAAGTGAGATAGCTAGAAATGCTGTATAAAAAAAAAAATTATAAATAACTTCTTGGTGTAGAAGGCTTACAGCCGTCCATGTTTGAGCCCTTGCCTCGCAACGCTGCAAGTTCTGTTAGCTCTACGCCTGCAGAAGACACAGACGTCCATTCCCGTGAACACTGGGACGGAACTCAATGGGAAAGGAAATTTTTCTTATTTCTTATTTCAACCGTTGCGTATATTAGCGGCGACATATGAATTTATGAACCAAAAAAATTTGATTGACAGATAACCGTTTATATATGATTGGCCGAATTTAGGTGAACAGGCTGACGTATAACTAACTGGCCTGAATAAGATAACAGGGAAAAAAAAGCCACAGATTTTAAGACAGGTTTTTTTTAAAACAGAAATGTTCTAAATTTTGGGACAATATAGTCTGATAAATAGTACATTTATATACATGTTTAACCCAAAATGATTTGACATTTAAATATGACTTCCCTACGACTTTAATTTCAGCAGATACAAGGTCTAAAAACAGGGCTGAAAGCCTGAAAATATTTTAATTTTATCTCATTTATTTATATCTGCCATTGAAGGATATTGATTACTTTGTCTTATCCTTTGTCAGCTTGGTCAATTATTTTGCACCTTCTTACATAAATCTGTTTAAATTACATTAATAGATTACTAATAGATTTACACTTATTGGTTCGATTAAAGGTCTTTAAATAATAAATCTATAATCTGAGTTAGACTCCCTCACATTTCAATGTTTTAATTGAAATTTTATTGTTAGTGCATATTTGGCTTTTATGTGTGTCTTGTATGTAATGATGTGATGTAATTTTGATGCCTATCTTGGCCAGGTCTCCCTTGCAAAAGAGATTTTTAATCTCAAAGGGTATTACCTGGTTAAATAAAGGATAAATGAAAAAATTAGTTGGGGCATGTTTTAATGTGTGATAATTATTGTTTGCCAGTAATGTGAAGATAATGTGAAGACTGGACTTTATTTGTGCGTTCACATCTCTACCTAAAAAGATTATAGGACCTTTATGTTAAAACTAAAAAAATAAAAAACAGTAACTGTGCACTTTTAATTCAACAACTATAATCACAAACATTTAAACAACACAGCGACAATACGGTTAATTTTGATGGATTTAAACAATCTCTACCACAGATTTTAAAGTTTTAAGTGATTCTGCTCGGGACTATGTAAATGTAATATTGCATTTAATGCATTTAAAGTTTTTTAGTGTTTGAACAAACTGTAGGATGAAGTGAGAGCTGTTGGATGCTGGATAGAATGGGAGCGGCTGGTTGAAGACATGGCAGTGACATTGGAGGGATTCTATGGAGATATTTCTTCTTTCATATGTTGTCTCTGTTTTCAATTATCTATATCAATAAAGATGTGAAATGTTTGATTATTGGACTGTTTCCAGTCATCCGCCTAAAGGCTGTTTACTTGGAGCGCGCCCCGGCGCGCGTGTTGCCCAGCATGCGACACTCCTGTCACGGCTTAATTAAATAATAATAAAATAACAATCCACGAGACTGCCTCCGTGGGTGATGCATTTGCATTTAAAAACAGCACTCACGCGTTCCCGATATAAATCTTGGGGAAGACCTCGTTGTAGTGCTGGGTGGGGAGGTTGTAGAAGCCGCTGCCGTCGGAGAGAAGCTGGTTGAGCTGCTGAACGGTAACCTCACCGCCTGCAGCCGGGATGTCTGTCGGTGGGGGCGGCGGCTGATGGTGATGATGCTGCTGCTTCGTGGGGCTCAGGTGTTTTTTCATGGCTCGCCTTTATTTTTTCTTTAATATCTTTTTTTCCCCCTCTTCTCTCACCTGGTTTCAGATTATGACCACCCGGTGTTCAACAGATTCTCTTTTACCTTGGCACGTGAAAGCGCGAGCCCTTCAGTTTTCTCCCAACGGTGGTGGTGAAGCGCGTGAGTTTACGCAGTGGTTTTCAGCCACTCTTTCAAAGTAAAAGACCATAGACCCAAAAATTCTAACGCAAACACATCAGATAAAAAAATGGGATAGATTTCCAGAGGCGTAGCCAGAAGATGTTTATAAGGGTGGCCAGGCAATAACCAATGTACACTGAGGGGGGCCGAAGCGGATAAGCACCAGAACCTCAGGGTCAATCTACACTGTTGCAACCGGAAAATTAATGAGCAAAACATCTATAATTTCTAAATAAAGACAAACTATACTTTCCTACAGCCTTTGCTAACAAATAGACGATAATATTCAAACATCCGTGCTTTCTAGATAAAAGATATAGTGCATAAAATACTTTGAGGTTTGAGTTTTTGGCTAAATCTTTTCCAATGTCATTACTTACCTACTTTCATCAGTAATCATTCTGCATAAAATCGATATTTAATTCAATTCAGTTTATTTATATAGCGCCAAATTCACAACACATGTCATCTCAAGGCACTTTACAGTTCAACCAGATCATACAGTCAAACTGATACAAAGTTTTCTATCTAAGGGAAACCAGTTGATTTACAGGTACTAATATCTACATAAATTGATTAATATGTTTTTATTAAAATAGTTATATATCTATGATTTCACTGAAGACTCCTAGATGATTTGGAGACACATAATTTTCTCTTTACCCCATAAAACACAAAATCTATTTCTACTTGAATTCTGTACTTATCATCTTTAATGTTAGTATATTGATGTGCATAATTAACCACAGTGTTTTTGTTGTCAATAATTGTTAATATATGAAAAATTAAAATGTTTTGAATATTCCACTTCAGAGTATTACTGCTGCCACCATCTGTATTAGAGGGAAAAAATGATAGGGGTGGCCACATGGGTGGCCAATGATTGGCTAAGGGTGGCCATGGCCACCCCTGGCCACCCATCTAGCTCCGCCCCTGATTTCCACACGGTTAAATTGATATAATACATTTTACACATTTTCCTTCTTTATTTTAAAATATATTGTCACAATATTAACTCAACAATGATAAACTTCAGTTCAATTCCAATTCAGTTTATTTATATAGTGCTAATTGAAAACTCATGTAATCTCAAAGCACTTTAGAGACAATTCAACCAGATCATACAGTCAAATTGATTCAGTTTTCTATCTTAGAAAACCAGTTGAGTCATAATTGATTCGAAAGCAATCCCTCACACTGAGCATGCTTGTAGTGACAGTTGAGAGGGAAAACTCCTTTTTAATAGGAAGAAACCTCCCTCAGAAGCAGGCTCAGTGTGAGCGGTCATTTGCTGAGGTCGACTGGGTTTCAAGGAGACAAAAGCAGACATAGAAAAAGACGCATAGATTCAAAAGGCATCTGTCAATCAGCTCCACAGGTGGTCCCGTCCAGGAAACACACAGTCAGGCAGATGAGCTCCACAGCAGAGGATGAAAGAGAGCGCATCCAGTTAGAGAAACAGGACTACACTGAAAAACAGACCAAGCTAAAACATCTATAAACAATGGCAGCAGCACAGTTGATATTTATTTTCAGGATGTAGTCACAGCCAAACAGGAGCAGACCAGATGAAGCTACTGTGAGAAAGCAGAGAGACTTGCATTTGAAATATACAAAAAAAAGGGAAGCAGATTTGTTGGAACCAAACACTTGCTGGTGGGATGGCTGGCACGCAAAACCAAAATGATTTCATTTGTAAAACTATTCATAAATGAAGTCAGACCAAATATGGAGTCTTTATGTTTTATATTCAGTATTTGCCATGTTGTCTGTCCTGTATTTTACACTTAAAGTTTTTTGCATTTTTTTTTTACTTTTGAACATGGCAGAACGCAAGTTTCTGTTCTCACAAAAGGCCCTCTCAGTGTTTATTTTTATTCTCAGATATTTAATTTTGTTTCTTTATTTATTTTATTTCAATTATTCTTTTAATTCCGTTTTTTTTTTCTGAATTTTCTGTTTATTTTTTTTTTTGCCACCATTATTTTGTGCTTGGATTCCCTTTGATCTAGTTTTTGTATATCATTTTCTGGTTTATATCTTAAATCATTATGTTTCTCTTTGCAGCTCAATTTCCTACTTTATTTGATTTATAATAAGCTCCTCGGTTTCAATTAATGCTTTTATTTATGTTTGAATCCGTTTTTCTCTGTGAGTGTATTTCTATCGTATTCTAAAATAAATAGAAATAAAGAAGCTGAAAAAATATACATTTTATCTTGAAGAGTTTTTTAAAACAACTTCCTTTATGTAGAGTTTAACAGCCACTTGACATTTCTCTCATTCACCACCATTTATTCCAATCCACAGACAGTCTTTCTCATTCTGGAGATGGTTGGCTGATAAACTGTAGGGGGACACACAGAGGACACAAGGTGGACAGGGTGCTTGTTGGAGGTTAAACATGATTCTTTTCTGCTTTCTGTCAGGTTTAAGCTCAGAGTAAGAGTTCAGTTATTCTCTGTTTTGCAGGTTATGTCTGGGTTATAATGCGTAACAACAGCTTAATGATTTTTGTATTGTTTTTCTATCATAAGGGAAGAATGTTGATTTATTGTCCATCAGACAGTGATTTAATGCTGAATTTAAACAGTTTATTAGAAAGTTGAGTGGAAGGAAAAAGTGTTTAACCCAGGAGTTCACAAACATCTCTGACCTCATACCAATGTAACACAATAGCAGCTGCCTAAAAACACATCAAATTTCTTTACCCCGTACTTAATTTAAAATACAGAAAATAAATGTTTTGATAAATGTATTTTTTTAAATTATATCAAATTACTTTGTCATTACAAATACATTTTAATTAGTTAATGGGACATCTAACTATTTATTGCATGGCAATTTTTACAATTTAATTGTTTATTTGATATCAAAATGGAGTATTAGATAATTAAATAAATGTTACATCTAAGTCATAAGTAAGTTATTTGATTGTACATTTATTTGATTAATTGGACATTCACATTACTGTTTTTCATTATATATTTTGGCCTTTCATATGCCTTAAATTATTTTAAAACCATCCCAAGAACACCCCAGCAGGAGTCTCCCTACCGTCTCCTAGGGAGCCCCTGGTTTAACTCTTAGGGAGTAATGTGCTGCCACGCTGAGTACCACATGTGTTGTGAACTGGAGTTCAGGGTTGTGTTTCAGAACCCAGAGGGACAATCTGACCTTAGAACTGACAACCTACAAAAATATCACTTTTTCTGTGATAAATCTTTAGATAATCTGTGATAAATCTTATGTATCCATATTAAACCAAAGCACAAAAATATTTTTCTGCATGTCTAAAGTTATCATTTATTGAAACTGTAAAGAAATCTATTGTGCTGACACATTTGAGCTGCATATAAATGACTATGAAAACATAATGGTGTCAGAGTCTTGGTTTGTTAGTTCCTGTTTTTCTTGGTTTTCCNTGGTTTGTTAGTTCCTGTTTTTCTTGGTTTTCCATTTGTTGTCCTCTGCTGCCCTCTTGTGTCATCTTGCCCTTGCTCTGTTTTCTGTTCTGCCAACACCTGTTTTCAATTCCCTCGTTAGCCCTCTTTTTGTCTCTGTCCCCTTTAAAAGCCCTCCCTCTTCAGTTCCTGTTTGCTGGATCCTCGTCTAACTTCTGCCTGCCTTCCTCGTCTCTCCCTGGCTCCTAGAGTTTTGGTTTACCCCTGATGTCTCCTTGGTTCAGGTTTGTTTGGATTTTTTGTTGAATTTTTGATTCCTGCCCCTGGACCTGTGAACCTTAATAAACCCACTTTAATTCACCTCTGCCAACTGGTCTCTGCATTTGGGTTCCCCAAACCAACACCGTTTCATGACAAATGGCAGGTATAACAGAATTCAGTCTTAGTCAGACCAAAAAAATGGCTCCGGTTACATACTACCGGGCTGCCTTCATTAAGAACGTCCCTTAATAATAGTTAAAAGAAACTTATTAATAGATCTGGTGAATCACACGTCATTACACATATCAGTTTTCCTCTCCACTGTCGCTACAAACATGCATAGTGTGAGAGATTGGAATTGAGTCAATGAGTTGACGGAATCAACTGGTTTTCCTTAGATAGAAAACTTTGAATTCATTTGACTGTATGATCTGGAGAGCTGTAAAGTGCTTTGAGATGACATGTGTTGTGAATTGGCGCTATAGAAATCAACTGAATTGAATTGATAAGATAAAGGATAAAGGAGAATCTGATGCACAACCGGAGTTTTCTCTGTTCAAAATCATCCTTTCTTTCTGTTTGCCCCCATTCATTTCCAAACTCCTGTTACATACATAATGAATGAACCTGTCTTAACCAGTAAACTGCTTGCGAAAACATTTGCCTCAATTAGTCCATAAAGTTACATCACAGCTACGAAAACCATGTAATGCACCTTCCATATGTAACAGATAGGAAATATTAGGGTTTCAGTTGAACATACATAAATTTAAGTCAAAGAATAATCCAAACAAGATGTATTAGGAGAGTTGGTGATGAATTTCCAAACAATAATTAGCAAATTTAAACTAGAGAAAATTAGGGGCTCATATTTTGCAGACAACACAGTAAAGTACATCAACTCTTTTGAAAACGCCTTATAGAGCTGTTAATGTATATTCTGTTATCTTCCCATTGATGATTTTTTTGGGAAACATTTCTGGACAATTTTGTACAAGCAGCCACTAGATGGAGCCACTTTCATATTACACCAACAGCACATGAGCCAGTGTTGTGAAGAAACAGTAACTAAGGAAATATTTGGTATGTTTTTTCTTCAGTTATTATTATAACGTTATTAGTATTTATGAGTTCAAGTTTCTCCGAAACTTTGTTGCGCCTGTTTAGTTAAGATACACTACTTACTGTCCATGTCTGTGATTTCTTGGTGGTAGTCATGAATTATGAGGCAGGTAAATGAGTTAGAGCTTTCAGCCTTGTTCTATCTGGCCATGAAAAAATAATCT